GATAACAGTAAAATATAGTCTTTTTCTATATTGATAGAACACCTTTCTTCCCCCCAAAAATAGAAGCTGCCTTTCCAAGCCAGGAAAATAATTCCAAAAGCTCTTACAGGTACCAAAAGAAAAAAAAAATAGAAAAGAGAGAGTTGCAAAAAAAAGTTCTCACCCGGGTTCACCACGGGGGCACTCACAGCTTAGATGTTCTCTGACTTACGGTCTGAAGCGGCAGGGCGATCGGCCATTTTACTGGCCGATCTTCTTCTCCGTCGGCCCTCAGAGATCGTCCGGACAACTGGAGGAGCCGCCGCTCCTCCGCAGCCGGACAGCAGCCTCCTCGTCAGAAGTCGCATCCTCCAAGGCGACTTTGGAGCCATATAAGGCTCCACCGACGGAGGGAAAGCTAGCCGGCGAGGGGACAAGTCTCCCCGCGTGACTAGCGACACCGCGAACCGGAACCGGAAGTCCTCTAGAATGTGAAATCTTAAATTTATCACTTTTTTGTCTCAGTATTGAGGCAGATTTTGTCCTAATGAGGCTCTTGGGATGCTTAGAATTAAAAATGATCATGCAATCTGAGTGATGGTTGTTTTGTTTTTATTCTCAAAGTATTGGTAGGGAACTGTGGGTTTTTTGGATGGATTCCTCAAGCTAGACTTAATTACAGTATAGGGATTTTATGTAAGAATGTCTTCAAGTCAGCATTGACTCCTGGTGACTGCCTAAATAATAATAATAATAATAAATCTTTATCGATTAGTCCTTGGGCCATATCAAAGCGCAAAATTCCAGCAACAAATTATTACTAAAGTTTGATAAAAGCAAATTTAAAATGAAATTTGATAAAATACAGTTTAAAATGGAATTAGAGTAAAATACGACTTAAAATGAAATTGGAATAAAATACAGTCTAAAATGAAATTAAAATAGAGTAAAATTTCTGCAGTTTTCTTGACAAGATTCCAGAAATGATTCACCAGGGCCTCTTTCCTAGGGCTGAGAATGAGTGACTGTCTCAAGATTATCCAGCTGGCTTTGTGCCTAAGGTAAAACTAGAACTTGCTGTCTCCCAGTGTCTAGCCTTAACCACTACACTAATATAGCTCTTGATTATAGTATAAGACAGTGATGGCGAACCTTTTAGAGACCGAGTGCCCAAAAACTGGCCCCAGCCCTGCTCCATCCCCCTTCCCCGCTTCCACCCCCACCCCACCTGCCCGCAGGGCCACTCACCACCTCCAGGGCCCGCCGCAGATCGCCCAAGCAGACCAAGGCCACGCCCTCTGCCCACGCCCTGCAGCATCAACTGTGTGATGGGGCATGAGGGCAGAGTGTTGTCTACGCTGCCTGGCTGCCATGTCCTTGGCTGCGCTGCTCCGTGTGGGCCACGTTCAGGGGCGAATCTCCTCCAGAGGGGCTGCTGGTGAGGAGGGGGTCGCAGGAGGAGGCAAGGCTGGGGCAATGGCACGTGTGCCCACAGAGTGGGCTCCGAGTGCCACCTCTGGCACCTGTGCCATAGATTCGCCACCACTGGTACAAGAGATTTAAAACTATTACAAAACTATCTAGAAGGCATTAATGAAAATGCAATGTAGTAGTCAGATATTGTTTTAGCTACTGTATAAAGGACCCTGCACCCAGAGGGATTACTTAATTCAATGTTTCTCAACCTTGGCAACTTTAAGATGTGTTGACCTCAACTGGCTCAGGAACTGACTTGCTTGTGCCATTGCCTCGGGTTTTTTCTATGTAAGAGATCTCGTTTTTAGTTTCACATAGAATTCCATCAGCTAGTTCTTCTCAATATTTTAGTTGCACAGAGGCCGGGGGCAGGGCTGAAGTTCCATATCTAAATAGTTGCAATTCAAACTTTGCATTACAGTGGCTTTCTGCAGTTAATCATTTCATAGGAACCCCCAACAAAAAGGTATATAAATTGGATTGTCCCCCCCCCTTATCAACACTAATTAAAACTTGACTTTGAATGTAGGAGAAGAATCAGCCCAAGACCATGTTCCTTACTCCTAACCCAGACCAGAAGGATACCATGATCAATAATATCAAAAACTGCTAAGAGATCAACAAGAGCAAAGATGAATGCACTATACCAATCCTGTTCCCTCCAGAGAATTTTCTTAAGAGTGATCACTAGTGTCTTGGCCCCATACCATACTGAAGGAAAGGTGGAATATAAATCTAACAAAGATAAATAAATATCTCCCAACATAGAGGAACAGCAACACTGTTAATATTATTAACATAATACAGCATGTAATACAGCATGTCTTTATTATAGTTGCTCTGGATTTATTTTTATGCTACATTCTTCATGTTTTTTGTATGTTTGTATATATTCATGCACATTTATTCAATGCTGCTTACAGTTCAATAATTAATTGTTCTTATTGCACAGTAGTATAGTAGTATATGCAGGTGTTCATCACCAACCATATTGATATCAAAATGACACATATTGTGATATCATTCTCAAATGATTAACTTAAGGGCTTAAGTTAACACATGAATGTTTCTCATATATCTAAAATCTGCAGACTAAAGTAAGGCTATTCCATGGAATTTTGCCTTTTATAAGCAACCACTGATGCCTTTCTAATTAGTATTTCCTTTGTATATTTGCTACAGAAGTAGATTAATTTAAACAGTCTGTTCAACTTGCCAGAGGATACATGGCCAGCAAGCTCATGTTCTGATTTCATTAGCTATAATGTGATTTTTTTTCAACAACAACAAAAAACAAGAATAAAAATTTAGAATAAATAAAATAAACTAGAACTGGAAAAGGACACGCATTTATGAATATCAGGTGTAGCTCCAAATAGATTATATATTTTGTAATATGGAAGCAACTTGTAAAATCATAATCACTTTTCTTGAATCTCCTTCTTGTTTCACAATGAACTCAGATATAAAGTCTAGCAAGCTAGCTGCAATGTTAGGACCTAGAAATCCATATATAGTAATGCTCATTTTGTTAATGTTGTTAATTTTATATTCCTATATTTTTCTCAGTTTGTGTTATTGATATATGCTACTATACCCTTTTTCATTTTCCATTGTTTTATTCATGCCCATCTTGAATTTTGGAAAAGGTTAAATTTACTTTCCTATTTTCTTCCTTCTTGTTCTTTTACCCTTGCATTTCCCTCTCTGTTTCTTCCTTGTTATTCCAATTCATTATTGGATCTTGGCGATCAAGATTGTCCATTACCTAATTACAGGGGTATATTGTTTAAAATTATTCCTGTTTATATTTCTCAAAACTTTTGTTACATGCCTATATCTCAATAGGAAGTCTGAATTGTTTCCAGCACTCTTCTTAATCACTAATAGCTTAGTCTCTTGACCAGTATATTTCGTCTGATACTATACTTGATCTTAGTCAAAAGACTCGTGCATAACTACTTTTCAGTGCCTACATAAGATCTTACATTTCCTTTACTTAGATTAAATTAGAGAGGGTCTAATTTAATTCCTAAATTTTATATTCCAAGTATCCAAATGCAGTATTAAGCAGTGAATACATGGACCTGTATTACAGCACATTGGTTGAAGTTATTGTTCTCTCCCACAGGTTTGAATTCTTTCCCTGTTGAAGGCAATTATAAATCAATGTTATTCAGGATAATCTCACAAAAACTTCCACATCTTGGTTTTTCCAGGAGGCACTCCTAATGATGGATTATGAGCATGCACCCATCATATTTAAATAATGTATCGAAGATCTTGAAGCCATACAGGACCAATCTGCTCTATGTAGGAATGCAGAGCTGTCAAGCCCTTTTAGAAATCAGCAAGATATTTATGTCACATAACTGTTTCCAAATTTTGAACACTAACTTTAGTATGCTTCAATGCTCCCTTCACAACAGTTTTGGAGAGATGATAACTAATAGTTCTCTATGAGGTGAGACTGTGCATCTCATGAACAAGGGGGACCTGTTATACTGTAACCTCTGAAAGGACTCAGGGACCTGCCTTATATCCTTGGGAAAACATCCAGGAAATTCTGATCTTTTTAAAGTATAATTATTATTATTATTATTATCAGACCACTATCAATCAGTCTCCTTTTTCATAATTTTGTTACACTACAGATTATTGATTTGATTTTGATTGACTGAAAAGCCCATTTCAACTGTAATATTTTATCTTGCTTTGCTTTTATTCCTTTTTATTTTTTATTTATGTTCTTGTTTGCAATTCTGGTCAGTAACTATAATAAACCATAATAAAAATATTCACATCTCATCTGAAACTTCTTTGTCTTTAGTTCTATAATTTCTTGTCCTTTGCTTGTATTATCCTCTTAATTTAAAATTAACTTATGTACAAGAAATGTGTAAAGACTTCAACAAGAATATGCTGTAGGGAGGAGGATGTAGCAAGCTAAATAGGGTGATAGTTACAGTATGTTGTACTTGTCCAAATTTAGAATTTAAGTTCAAGTATCATTAATTTTTCAGACTGTCTGCAGATTTCCTTAAGATTAACTTGCTGATTACATTGCAAAATGTAAAGACAGCTGGCTTATTTGTCTAAGTCGTTCAACACATCTTTAATTTTCTGCAATTAATTGTGTTGGTTTTAGTTTCCCATTGTTTGCTGTGCTTTCCTACTCCCTCTTATTTCTTGAGAATAATAAAGTTGTACCAGATCTTTTCTTGCTTTCTCTTCTGCTACTTTTTAAATTTCATATCATATACATTTTACTCTTGTAGCAAAAAAAACTGTTTTATTATCTATTACAAATGTACATCCAGTTGTGCCTTACATAAATAAGGGGGGAAGGGCAAAAAAACAATGCTGAAGATGGATTAAATTCCACAAGATGGTTTCTAAGCTGCAAACAACATTTTGCTAAGAATAGCATATTTATTTTTATATCAAAAAAAAATTTCTTTACAGGAACATCTCTGAATAATATTAAATAGCCAGACGGACCTTCTAAAATATAAGTAATCTGGATTGTTTTTCTTGCTTTGTAGGTTGCGTGTCTGTAGTGGCTATAATACAGCAGCTTTCTCAAGTCCACAACTCTACAGTAAAAGCAACTCTGGAAAGATTCTGTACCTACTTACCTGGTAAAAAAAACAATATGCACTACATATACCAATCAGTTTACATGCTTATGATATGATATACAATACTGCACTTGTTATAATTAGTTACAGATATTTTGAATTAATGAAAAGTAATAATTTATCTCAGAGCGGCTCTCAATTCATCCTTCTCTAAAGAAAACACAGAATTATTCACAGAGAAACATGATCAAAGTTTTAAAAAGTATTGAACCACATATATTATTTGTGGGATACAAAGATGCCAAGAGTCACTCAGAACAAATTATCAGAGAAAACTTGCCCACTTGGTTATTTGAAAATTTGTATTTGCTTGATATTTGAGCAATGTGTCCATCTTAGCAGTGGTAGCATGCATGCTAGTCCACCAAATATACCACTATAGGTTGTTCTTGGAGATAATGTAGATGAAAATGATTTTTCAGTGAAGTTCAACCAGTATTTGTGCTGATATTGGGGACTGTATAAAAAAAGCAAGAACTTTGAGTACATTTTAATGATATGCATGGATATAGCCCTAGACACTCACATAGGATTTAATTTCACTGTTCATAAGAAATAACCTTTTCCTAAGCAAAAGGAAAACCAGCAAATTTATGCCTTATCATAGAAATTGTTTTTGATGTTGCTGGCAGACTGATGATACTCTGTGAGCAATTTGTCCTGGCAGGAATGTATACATTTTGCTATTGTAGCCATACCTAATTGCTTCTTATCTTACTAAATCTGCAATGTTTTCATTGAGTAATTAATTAAAAGTGATTTTCTTCTTTTCCAGGGGCCCAGAATATATTATAATTATGACTGCAAATTGGCTGTTAGGAATATTAATTGTTGAGGCCAAGACTGAACAGCAGTTTGGTTTATTTTTGAAATTTAGCTTTGCAACTTTCCTGTAATTTCAAATAAATAAGAAATTAGTAAAGGTTTATTTTCTTATAAGGGATAAAATCAAGGGAAATTGCCTCATAAATGCACTTCTATTGAAGATGGCTCCAGAAAAGAAAAAAGAGATATTGAAATAAAATTGTTTTTTTAGTTAATAACAACTAATTAATTAGTGTGCCAATAAATTATTGCCAGACAGCTTTCATTACAATAAAATTTAAATTATTCTGAGTATGTTAGGCACAAGGTAAATTGTTCAAAGTTGCCCAACAAGCTTAATGAAATCAGTTTAAAGCCTTAGTTCACAGCCGGAAAATCTATCTGTCATTGCTTATATATTTTTGTAATAATTTTTGTGACATTTAATAATAATAATAATAATAATAATAATAATAATAATAATAATAATAATAATAATAATAAGTTGGAAGGGACCTTGGAGGTCATCTAGTCCAACCCCCTGCTCAGGCAGGAAACATTATACCATTTCAGACAAATGACTGTCCAACTTCCAGTGTTGGAGCATTCACAGCTTCTGGAGATAGGTTGTTCCACTGATTAATTGTTCTAATTGTCAGAAAATTTCTCCTTAGTTCTAGGTTGCTTCTCTCTTTGGTTAGTTTCCATCCATTACTTCATAATAATAATAATAATAATAATAATAATAATAATAATAATAATAATAATAATAATAATAATAATAATAATAATAATAATAATAATAATAATAATAATAATAATAATAAAGTTGGAAGGGACCTTGGAGGTCATCTAGTCCAACCCCCTGCTTAGGCAGGAAACCCTATACCATTTCAGACAAATGACTGTCCAGTCTCTTCTTGAAAACTTCCAGTGTTGGAGCATTCACTGCTTCTGGAGGCAGGTTGTTCCACTGGTTAATTGTTCTAACTGTCAGGAAGTTTCTCCTTAGTTCTAGGTTGCTTCTCTCCTTGATTAGTTTCCACCCATTGCTTCTTGTCCTGCCTTCAGGTGCCTTGGAAAATAGCTTGACTCCCTCTTCTTTGTGGCAGTCCCTGAGATATTGGAACACTGCTATCATGTCCCCCCTCGTCCTTCTCTTCATTAAACTAGACATACCCAATTCCAGCAGCCGTTCCTTATATGCTTTAGCCTCCAGTCCCCTAATCATCTTTGTTGCTCTTCTCTGTACTCTTTCTAGAGTCTCAACATCTTTTTTACATCATGGTGACCAAAACTGGATGCAGTATTCCAAGTGTAACCTTACCAGGGCATTGTAAAGTGATATTAACACTTCACGTGATCTTGATTCTATCCCTCTGTTAATGCAGCCTAGCACTGTGTTGGCTTTTTTGGCAGCTGCAGCACACTGCTGGCTCATATTTAGGTGATTGTCCACTAGGACTCCGAGATCCCTCTCACAATTACTACTATTGAGCAAGGTATCCCCTATACTATACCTGTACATTTGGTTTTTCTTGCCTAAATGTAGAACCTTACTTTTTTCACCATTGAATTTCATTTTTTTTAGATAGCACCCAATGTACAAGTCTGTCAAGATCCTTCTGTAACTTAAGCTTATTTTCTGGAGTTTTGGCTATTCCTGCCAGCTTGGTGTCATCTGCAGATTTGATGAGTTCCCCATCTATCCCCTCATCCAAATCATTGATAAAGATGTTGAAGAGCACTGGGCTCAGAATTATATGAAGATGAGAGCAGGTTGATCTTGCTCCTACTATCACATCCATTTTGCCCCGCTACGTAAATATTAATGTTGACTTCTTCAGTAATTTAGAATCATATGTCTTAAACCAGGGCTTTTTGAACTGGTTCCATTGGCCTACAATTCTGAAAATTTGATTTGGTTCCATGGAAGATTAACTGCAAAACACACACATACATACATAGACAAAAGTTTATCAAACACAGCCAATTCTCCATCATTATAGCTTTGCTTCTTGATCAGGGTTCTGGATTTTTTTTAAAAAATTACTAGATCTCACAATCTGAAAATGTTTGATAACACTTGACCTAGAGCACATACAAACTTTCAATGTACAATAGGTTCCCATTTTCAGACTGTCATTGTAGCATACGGTTGAATAGCCAAGTCAGAAAGGACATGCATACTGGGACCAATGTGGTCCCATTTGCCCATTCATATAATATTTTCAGTATCTACTAGAAACGAACAAAAGAGCTACTCAATCTTACCTGGGAGCTTTCTATGACATCTCTTTGACTTCTGTTATAAAAGCATGGTGCAGTAGAATAACTTTTTCTTTCAGCTAGAAGGATGAGTAAATACCTTCACATGTTTAAATACAATCTTATGAATGCTCATTTTTTTCAATATATATTTTTCCAGAAACATTCCACCTACAAGGTATTTGCTTTTTGCTTATTGAAATATATGGACCAAAGATTATTAAATTGTAAGTATTAATGACAATAAATAAATAACTATTGCTATGTCATGCATAATTAATGCTTGCCCTATACAACCCATCATAGATGGCATACTCTGGCCTTATCAGTCAAATAATGCTCCCGATAGAACTAGGAGGTCTTTGGCATATCCTGCCAAGATTCATACAGCCCCTCATCCTGCCCTAATGTAGACAAGAATGCAAGAACTGACTCTTTTCCCAGGCCTGGGTCTAGAGTGGATGGCAGGCTTTTTGTGAATTGTTTGATCTGTGAAATGATAAGGGTTTTTAACATTCATAGATATATTCCAAGATTTCTTATGGGATTCCTCTCCTGTGCTTTTAACTAGTATAGATCCAGTGCAATAAATCTGTCTCATCTATTTACACCATTTAGTGTAATGGTTAGACGCTGGCTTAGAGGCCAGCCTCATCTTAGATACGAAATCTGGGCCAAATACTCTCAGCTTCACCCATTTCACAGGGTGGTTGTGGGGAAAATAGGAGGAGCAAAGAATGTTAGATATGCTCACTGCTTTGTTACGTATGCAGTAATAAAGGCAAGATAAAAATTTAACAAACAAATAATAAATAGTAGAGTGCTGCTGTTTAGTGCATAGTTTTGTATTTATAAAACTATCACTACTCTAGAAGGAATTCAATCTAAAAGCTGATAACTGAACTCCAAGATTTCCATTCAGATTCATCTTGCCCCCAGATTCATAGGGCTCACACATAAGTCCTGTTAAAATGAGCCCTTAAAACTTGAGTTATTCCTCATGTCTTGTTGTTTTATCCAAATTTTCTCTTTATCCACCACTGGGCCTTGAGCCAATCAGAACCAGGCTGCGGATGTGGCAGGCAAGAGTACGTGCGCATCCCCTCTTGTGCGAGCAGTGGGCGAGTGCGTGTGCACATGCTCCGTTTGTGCCCACTCACGCAGAACAATTCCCTCCCCCCCATCCACAAAGGCGGAAAGGTTGGGGAACTCTGTTCTAGGCAATATATTTAAATGCATGTATGTGTATAAAACATTGGGTATATACACTGCCTTGAGCCATCCATACAGATTGAGGTGGTCTATATATTAAATTAATTAATTAATAGCAAATGCACTTCTCAACCGGCCTCAAAAGAATTTAATTCCAAAAGATTCTGCTGTTGGAATTATTGGTGGAAACAAATCCCAAAGGTGCTTTTCCAAAAAGCAACTGGACTTTCTTTCTTTTTTGAAAACATTTAGCTTCTCATCCAAGAAACTTCTTCAGTTCTAACTGACAGGTGGGGAATGGAAAGATTGGGAATTTATCAGAGGGTAAATAGGTGTGGAATCTTCTTGAAAGAATTGTAAACAGGAGATAGATGGTGTCATATCCTTTCCCCTCTGTTGAAAGAGGGCTGTTCAATTTTAACATAGATGTTAAAATTAATGTATGTTAAAATTAATCTATATTAAAAGTCAGTTAGAACTGAAGAAACTTGTTGGATAAGAAGCAAACCATTTAAAAAAAAAGCCATGAAAATCCAGTAGCCTTTTGGAAAAGCATCCTTGGGACAACTATGACTTGGATGATTGAGAATCTCCATAGGCCGAAACAAATATTTGTGGTCAACTCCTTGGCCTACTTATGCTTATAGAAAAATATATTTCCTCTTGGGAGCAATACATAGCCTCTGTTCTGGTTTCCTTTGAATTTTCAATCCATGACAGTTCCATATGTTATCCAAAAAAAGGGATGGCTGAGGTTAGGCAAATATTGTTGGTCTCAGATTTACAAATTGAAGATCTAAAACTGGAGGCAAATCTGCTATCAAGACTTTAGTATCCCACTTCTTCCATTCTTAAATATTTTCATAATGCTTTCTCTACCCCAGTGAAAAGGACATTCATGCAGATACTCCATCCTTAAAGGTGCTGGAGGGGTAGAGTTTTGTGTGATTTTTTTTTAAAAGGGATCAGTTCTAGGAAAACCTCTGTGAAAATCACAAAACTTTGCACCACTGCAATTACTATTAGAAGCTGCAATTGATTCATGCATAGACAAAAAGAGATTCTGACATATGTGCTGGGTTATGCAGCCTGATTGTCTTTTACTGATTCTTGCCGTTCATCAAATTGTTTTGATTTCTGTGTCTATACTTCAGTCTACAACAATACAGCAAACAAATAAATAATCCAGCATCTATCTCAAGAAGTTGCAATAGAAATATGGAAATGTTTAACATTAACAATTAATTAAGAGAAGTAAATAATTTTGGCATATGCAATACAATAGATTTGCATATTTCATTCATTCCGAGCCATATTATCTGTTTTGCTTTAAGGGTAAATTAGAGGCAAAAGCTTCCTGTATGTTCCACTTCAAAATATTGCATCCAGGTTGTTTGGCTCTTCAAATGGGCTGGTCTGCAGTGTTCTCATCATAATTTGCACTATTGGCAGGAGGAATATGTGTACTAGCTCTGAAGCCTCCATGCAAAGGCAAAACGAGGGCCCAAGCAAATAGTGGATAAACACTTATACAAAACTTTATGACTGGTATTTCCATAGTATTTAACTTTGCATAATTTTCATGTGCCAATAGTATTTTTCTTATATTTCCAAAAGTTAATTAAATATATTAGCCTGTAAGTAGTCTTCTCCAGAAAAAAATGTTGTGTAGGAGATTTAATATGTGTAAAATTTGTATAGTATTCGGAATCACTCAACCCATTGGGAGCTATAGAAAGCCCAAGTTCACCTCAAATGAGAGTAAAAGTGTTATTCTAAATTTTGGAACTTCTGATCATCCTTGCAAAATTATTCTAGCCAAATTAGTTAGCAGGTAAATTTATGCAGCTTTTCTTTGTTGCCACCTTTAATAAACCTACCTTTATTTTCACTTTTAAAGTTAGCATTTCAACATCTTGAAAAGTAATGTAATATCTTTTCACATAAAAATTAAAGACATTTAAGCTGTGCGACTATGTAGAGACTTTTTACAGTTCTTATGGAACCTAAAGATAAAATATTTCTATGTATTTATTTAAATTCTGGAAAAAAAAATCATATACATGGTGGCTAAGAGTTAATACTGATTTGATGACATACAAGCAATTGGCCAATTTAAAAAATTATACATATTTAACAACAAATCAGAGTAAAAATTATGAGGGCATTTCACTGAGTAAAGCTTTGCATAAAATTTGCTGAAGCAAATACAATCAATGAATTCAGAATTTTCCATTATTTACATTATGTAAAGCAGTATTCAAGATCCAAGAAAAAAAAAATACTAGCTTAAGATCAAATTTAGTAAATACAAAATGCATCTTTTCACTGGTAAGGAACTATTATAGCCTAATACCTGACAACAAAAACTGCCTTTGTTTTAGGGTAGAAACCAAAATGAATGCCGATGTGATATGCCATTCCATTCATGCGTGTATAAAGAAAGCAGGTCAACCATACTGTCATCTATACCCTCCTCCTAAGGTGAGTTTCACTTGAGCTTAAAATAAGAGAAGATATAATTTATTTCCCTTTTTAAAATAATTGATCTAGAGAGGAGAGAATCTATGAGCTTTTCTACAACTCTCAAACTCACTGATGGATCAATGATTAGGTTTTAAAATGTAAATACCTCCATGGTTGATTAAGCCACCAATAATCAACAGCATCTATCTGGATACCTTTCCTAGTGTGTCACTCTACTCTTATCTCATTGCATCATCATGACTATGTCATGCTATTTTAATTATACCCCATGCTTACTCCAATGTGTAAATAATATCCTTATCTTATCCCTATTTAATACTTGGAACAATCTTATATGTTTAAGTAGGCTAAAGGTTAGACAAACTCAAGGTTCTTTAATGGCAGTCATAATCAATCAATCAAATATATAAACTTTGATCTCCTGCATGTTTGTCAAACCAGCAATAGTAGCTTGGTTTATGAATTATTGTATGTAAGTCTATTCAAAGTCACAGAGTTGGGCTCTATTAAACATCAAAAACAAACCATGTAATATGTAGTAGCCTATATGTCAATTTTTTAAAATAAAGGACAAAATGTTCATTCAAAATGTCCTTTGTATTGAGAATTGCTCTATGACAAATTGCCCTGATGAAAGTAAATTGGAGGCCCAATTGTAAGGATAAATTGCGTGCTCAGCTTAGTATCAGGAGCCTGAAAATGGGAGTTAAATTGCTTAAAAGGTGATTAAAGGTGTAGTCCCTCATTACTAATTATTTTAGTACCTATTTTCTATGTGATATTGGATCTGAGAAAGGACATTTCTTTTATAGAACATTGACTATTTCATTCTATAGAGAATTAATTATTCATCTTATTTAACAATGGCTCCATTTGAAAAAGGATGGGATAATTTCCATGTTTTTGAGAATATTAAACCTTCTCAGATCAGCAAAGGTAAAAAAAAGATGAGCTCATTGCTGCATGGCTGAATCACTTTTAAAAAGAGCTCAAAATCAACAGCTTCTATTTGTAACAATTACAATTCCGTGTTCAGAAATAATCATACTCCATAAGAGAAAGCAGTCACCTTTATACATAATTTGCAAGTTTTCTGAAAGTAAATGCTAACTTACTGTAATTAATTTCAATGTGATGTTGAAATATTGTATTGGAATTAAATCTATGTGGCTCATAAGCACTTATATGATGCATAAGTAAAATTTGGAGAATGGATGCAAGATTTAAGAGTTTGAAAATACTTTAATTCCATTTTTGTACTACAAGCTCCTCTAACTTTGCAAGTAGGATGAGAATTTTTATTGTCCTGCTTTTGCTTTTGGCTAGAGTTATCTTACAAGCATTCTAGTTTATTCTTAGATATTGATGTGATATTTGAAAGACCTTCCATGCAGTATGAAAATGTTAAATAGAGACTTCCGGTTCCGGTACGTGGTGACGCCGGTCGTGTCTGGAGACTCATCTCCACTCCGGCCGGGTTTTCTTCGCCGGTAGACCCCTTAGTGGGTCGAAAGGCACCCTGGAGGGGCGACCACTGAGGAGGAGGCTTGCTGGTGACTGCAGGAGGGCGACAGCTTCTCTCGTGGCTCCAGCTATCTCCTTAGGGCCGACGGAGCAAAGATCGTCCAGCAAGATGGCCGATTACCCTGCTGCACCAGCTGAAAGTCACATCTACAATTCTCTTCAATTACCATTAAAATGGAGAAACCTTATTCACAATTAAACTGTAAACTTATATTGGAAAAGATTTATGAGGCTACTGAAGAAATATGTGCTACAATGAAAGAGATTACTACAGAATTAAGAGCCAGAAACTCTATCACAAACCTTCAAACTGACTTTCAGACTACATCTTACCATTCTATAAACCAAAACATACTAGAAGAGGAATCAATTGAGATTAAAGAGGAATTTATTTTACCTTACAAGCATTTTATTTATATCCTCGAGGATCAGAAAAATCAAAGACGGAGATTTGAACCTTTAAAGCTACAAGGCTTTAAGGACAAGAGAAATAGACGTCCAATGCAGAGGACAGGATGCTTTTTACTGTCTCAAATGATATTACAAGCAACAAAGAGAGACCTATCGACTGAAAGGGAAGCTTTGTTATGGAAACCTGCCTGGCACAAAAAGAAGGCTAGAATAAGACTGAAAAGAGAAATTTAAAATTATATGTAATGGATCAAAGGCACTGTAGAATTATGGATTGATTTAAGGATTAAGAGATTATTAGAATATATATACTAAATAGATTAAGAATGTATTTTTTGGAATAATAGGTTTATTTGTATGAAAACTATTATCTAATGGAATGAAGAAAATTGAAGAGGTGTTTTAGATCTGGATTGACTTAATAATTAATCAAATTAATTTAGTAAGATGATGTTTTTGTTTGATAATATGGATGTTATTAGGTATGATAACTAACTGGATGAAATTTGAATCTCGTTCAATGGACTGAAATGATTTAAGGTTTGATATTATCTTGTTATCTTAAAGAGATTGATTGATGGATTAGACATGTATAGGGTAGATTAATATTTTATTTTAATTAGGAGATATTAGTGGAAGAAGAAATAAACAAGACTTGTGATAAAATTAAGGAACTAGAATATATCTGGAAGGGATACTTGAATTGATAATGTGTTTATTTAAAGTTAAATTTGATTATGGTAATTGTAAATTTATAAAGCTCAAAACAGGTTTAGGATTAATAGAAATTTAAATTAGAAATGGATTATCTTAAATATATCAAGCTATTTGAGGGAAATAGAGAGGGAATATTGGATGTATTGATTTGAGTTATTTATATATGATTTTATTTTTGGATGTTTGATTACCCCAGCACCACAGTGTGTCTTGAGCACTTTGTTCCAAGAATTTAAAAAACCAATAAAATTTGTTTTTAAAAAAATATTAAATAGAATAAAATAAAACAAGTTTCTAAAAGAACAGGATGTGAAGACAAAAACAATGAGGATGAAGCAACAAATAATTTGGGATAAAATTCTGTTTAATCTGTGAATGGCATGGCATGGTGTGGCATGGCATGATAGAGAAATTCTGTCTACGTATTATTATATAGGTCATGAGAATAAGCCAGATATCTTAGATATCCAAGATTTGCTCTGTTAAATTCACCACATGCTTCAAGAGCAGATCTTGGACACTTTTTGTCGTTGTTCCATGTCTCCTACAGTGTATGTTGCATAGATTTTATACATATAGTTGTGCAGGTATGCAAATGAGTAACTTCCAGTTAAAAAGGGTCTGCTGTTGGTGAGATAGCTAACTAATCATAATGCTTATCTCTAAACTGTGATTACAAAGCACTATAGGAATGAAATATTATAATGGGTAAGTCATATCTTTTATTTATATAATTTAGGAGCAACGTTCCTAGCACATAAGATGAACAGTTGTTAGCAATTGACTTAAGAAATAATTCCTCTAATCTATATTACTAGTGGAATGCAAGTTTATGTCAAAACAAGGGGTGATGGAAAGAAGTTACTCTGGCTATCGAATAAAAATGGATAATAGAGATTGTAATACTTGACCTTGTGTTTGTTTTGTATAATGATGTTTGCCATCATTTTTGCAGAACACATTTAAAACAATGATTAAAATACAGTGTATTTTCAGCCATATTTTAGTACCAAAAAAGGACTCTTTTGATCCTTTCCCCCAAACTCAGAAATATCTACTGATATTTATAGAAACTCTCTTACTGTTCAGATGCTCCATAGTAATTTCAGCAATAAATATACTAATAACATAAATCTTCAGTGTAAAGCGCACTTAAATTTCAAACTTCCATGTATATATAATAACCCTATGTTGCTGTTGTTTATGTAGATTACAAAAAAAACCTTGCCAATCTATAGCCCAACTCCCAACTTTTCAAGTCCCATACATAGAAGAAATTGGAACAGAATAATGTTTTGAAGGAAATTTCAAATTTAGTGACCCTAAATATATAGTTTTTATTTTATGAAAAATAAATGAAATATGTTAAATAACCACTTTGATTTGTATTCAACCCCCAAATGCACACTCATATTAAAAGCAAAAATCACTGCAAAATTAAAACACCAAACTCATTAATAAATACAAAATTCATAAATATATCCAAAAGGGAGCTATTAAAACAGAATAAAATAGAATATAAGTCAACATGCACATTTGCATCCTACTTTACCAACTAATATTCTAGTCAGTTCTGAATATATAATTTAAAGGCACAAGGCAAGATACAAACTTTCCATTATAGTTTAATTTCAGAAATAGAGGCTTATGGAGAAAATCAACTTACTACTTGAGGAGGCTTATATGCGCACAGTGCCTCTCTCTGTCTGACTCTCTCTCTCTCTGCAAATGGCAGAGGAGGCTGAGAGCCGCAGGAGAAGGCTCAAAGAGCCACATGTGGCTCTGAAGCCGTGGACTGCCGACCCATGTTCTAGGGTATGTTTGGATTGAATGCCTTTAAGCCGCTTAGGGTCTCCACTGGTGAAAAGGGCGACATAAAAGCTTAATAAATAAATATTGACAAAAAGTTTTGTATCTGAAAAAATGTAGCAGAATTAATTTTGTTTTGAAAGGTGGGGTATTATGGGTTATAATACTTTCATTTTGTTTTGTTGAAAGCTGGAGCATTATGGGCATTGGAGGTGTACTCTGGTGCTGAATTGATACTGTAGACATATGTGAGTTCACTGATAGGCATTCCTCCCACAGCTTCCCATCCTTCAGCTGGAATATTATAAACGCATTATATGCGAGGCAGTCCTTAAAGCTAGGCCACACATTAGAGTGAGGCAAAATACTATATCCAGGATAATAGATAACATAGAACATGAGTTTGTTATTCTGTTGTATGAATACTGTTGTGGGTGTCAATAAAATACTTGGGCAAATGAGAGATGCTGATGCTTATACAAAAAAACTGTAGATGGGGATGAGATCTCAGGAGGCAAAACTTGTTGATTGTTCGA